TTTAAAGTATGTTCTTTCATTAGCTAAACATAAATTTTGTCTATCAGCAATAATTTTTCTTTTATTCGCCTTCAAAAAAAGGAAGTTTCTGCGCCCCATCCTGTATTATCAGTTGCCAGTATTTGCCATGTTACTTAGTGTCAAATATATAGCACGAGTAATATAGACATATTTCAATGGTTCACAAAATACATCTTTCTAGAGAAATGCAAGAAATTTTACAAAAAAAAAAAAATCTGAAGAAAGAAAAATAGATCTTAAAGACATTTCAGAAGAAAATTGATTTATTATCCAATGAGTTGGAATTTTTTTTGAAATCAAAAGGTGCATTAAGAATTTCTGGTTTCAGTTCCTTATCCAAGTTAAAACTTATTCTGTTTTTCTTCTTAACTTTACCATTACCACTGTTCACTGCATTTTATGGATTCTCAAAATCATTTCACAACAGATCAGTTCCTCATTTAGTACTGTCATAAAATTTACAATGCAAAGTACACACAGAGTCAGTCAGAATAAAAAGCAGTCTAAAAAATGTATTAAATATGTCTGCTTTACATGTCAAAGGCAACTGAGCAAATATGCATTTAAGTACTGCTCATTTTATTACCCCCAAACATTTAATTCACTCAAACAAGTGACTAGGCAAAAATACAAGAGCATAACACCAATTCTCTAAAACATTTTCATCAAAATAATAATAATTCAGTTCCTCCCTCATAGAAAACACTTTGTGCTTCCATTACAAACACCAAATGGTTAAAGCCGTTTATTCTGAAAATCATGTGAAACCCATGCATGCAGTCTATGGGCAGATCGCAGAGTTCTTCATGTTAAAGCAGGTGGTACATACAGTTACCACTGTGCTTTACAGGGTTAACAGCTCAATTCAAAGCTGCTATTGCTATTTTACTGAAAACAGAACTTTCCAGAGGTCACAGTATAATTACAATCTCTGACCTGCACTATAATATTTAAATATAAATAAAGAGCTTTAATTTGTATGATTATTAAAACATAAGAAGTGGCAAAATAAGTAAATTGTGGACCCTGGAACCAACATATTTAACCCCTGAATCACTACTGGATATAATTGATATGTTTACAACTTGCAACAAGGAGTAACACACAAGTTCTCTTTTTCTCAATGTAATAACAAGACCAACTGAGGTATTTGTTCCAGCAATATACCACACATTCAATTCCCATGTAGAAGAAATAAAGGGTCAGTGTTTGCACTGACACACCTCAGTTTAATTTCATCATCATGTCAGAAGCATTTTCCTTCAAACTGCTTCTTCAGCAACCCAAAAAAGAAATGGAAACTGTTAAGTGTGATGTCACAGCTAAGTGGTGGACAGATTAGATATTCCCAGCAGTCTATGTGTAAGCTGCTGTAGACAACATTTTGGGACAACACCGACACAGAAAGTCTGTGACAGGATAACAAGGTTAAAGACCAGTGGGTGCAAACACTGGGCCTTTCTTCTCTGATGGATTCAAACATGTGTGTACTGCTGGGACAAATGTCTCCATTGTTCTAGAAATATTTACAGAACCAGAATGTTTGTCCATTATTCCCTGTTACACTGGATATACATGTTGAAGAGTAACACATCCTTAGATGTTACTTATTGAACACCCCACATATGAATTGTTTCACTCTTGTATTTCACAAAAGAGAACTGAGGTAATAATAATTAATCTTGCAACATTTTCAAACATGGAAAAGAGGAAGATTCCCTAACTAAATAAAAAAGAATGCTGTCCCTAATTCTTCAGAAAATTACAAGTTAAAAAATAAATTCATATAGTAGATTTAAAAAAAGTGAAACTGATGTTTTACTGCCTTGTAAAATGTGAGCCCAGAACTGCATTTCCAGTAGATTCACCACTTCTTCAGAAAATCTTTGCTAATTTATGAACAATTACAGAATAACAATGTACCACTATAACATACTACATTCGAAGTTACATATATTAACAACCTGAAAGCTGCATGAGCTGTGGGAAAATAGAATATAAATTTCAAACAACTTTGACCCTGTACATGGACTTGTAAAGCACTCATCTACTTTACTGCAAGACAGTGCAGTCTATACTGATATTCAGAAGTACATGCAGAGTACAGACATCTACAGAGACACAAAAAGTTTAAGTACTTATGCAGTGTAGACATTCTTATTACTTATACAATACTGGCCAGGCAGAAGCAAGCAAATGCCTTGCACAGGAGACTGGGGTTCCAAGTTTAAAAAAAACTTCAATGCATGAATGTAAACTTCTTATGGAGGGGGGCCTGGAATACAGGCATAACACATTTCCAGCACCAGCTGTAATATGGGAAAGTGTTATGTTTGAATGTTTCAGGAAACAGGCCTGTTGATTCCTAATCTCCATGGCCTGAATAGACAAGAGGAGTGATGATCTCTTCCACCTGGGCAGCTGATCAGTTTGCAGGCACTCTATGATAGCTGTGAACTATAAATCAGCATTTCAAAACAGAATGAACTTAATGGGCTTGTAGTTCAATATTTTATCTATGAATTTAAATGGCATAATAAATAAGCCATTAGAGTTAACTGGTTCAATCAATTAATTTTTTTTTAATTCTTCCTTTTGTGCTAATCAAGTGAATAAAACTAACAACCTGATTCCAATGAATTTCGAAAATCATATGAAGAATAAACCTTCAAGTATATATATATATTCAGCATGTGCAGAGAGAAGTCAGAAGTGAAAAGCAGGAAGGGTGTACTGGTGGAGTACAACTGACTGAGTATATGACACTTCTCATTCTCAATCAGTTAATATTTGGATTACAGTCTTCTGAGAAGTGATACTGTTTAATATGGTATAGGTTCCAACATTTCAGAGGAACTGGTTGCCTCCATCCTCAAGGTATAATAGGAGCTGAAGGCACTAAGTTGGTACCTACCTACCTATGGTACTACACAGCATCACAACCCACACGACTTTAAGCTTAAACAAATGACTGTTTACATAATACATTATACACCATCATATCAGATGAAATGTGTTTCATGAGACAGATTTCTGTTACACCTTTGTCAGTAGTACACAAAATGAAGACAAAATTACACAGTTACAAATTTAGTCAATGGCAGTTTTGTATAATACTACAAAAGATATTAGAACATGCTGAAAGGTGAGATCTATTACGATCCCTTCAAAATTATATTAACCAAGTGGAAGAAGACATTAAAAAGGAGGCCTCTAAAAAGGTAAAAATATTTTACATTTTAATACCTGTAACATGTCAGGTAGGACTAATACTGTGAATGCTGTTACACAATCATGTACTATCCTCCAAAGAGGAGAAGGTGAGACAATTATGAAGGCCTGCTTACATGTACTGTACAAGATTAAAATATCAGCCTGATTTTTAATGATTATTAAAATTCCCGTTGGTACACTGGAGCTAAATGCATCCCTAAATGAAAGGAGAACAGTTGAAATCAACCAGTTCTACTCTCCAACTGTCTTATCTTCTCATCAGTGATGGATGGCAAGTGACCACAATTTAAAGACTTCAGTCTAGCATAGAAAATGCTAATATACTATGCTGTTTCCAGACAAATTTCTGATGGCTGATCATAGAGCATCTTCACGCTGTTGAGTGAAAACCAGAATGCAATCTCCAGTCTGGTTATCAAAGGTGAGGCATTTTTCTCTACCTGAACACAAAGCCCAAGTCTGGTGCATCATGTACCTAAAGGAACTGCAAAAATTTCACTATTCTCAACAGGAAACACATATCAAAGCATAATGTGTAAAGCACTATGTTGGAGAAATCTGAAAAGGTAGTGAAGTACTAAGCGCTCTCACTTGCAGCTACTCAATTTCTACTTAGATTTGTCAGACATGATGCTCTTGAGCTCCATAGCCAGCTTGTAGCCCAGTTCAGGTCTTCTATCACGGCCCTCAACCATAGCCTTCACCTACAAAAGTGATTGTAAAATTTAAGTAAAAAATAAACAGTGTACAATAACCAATTTGCTGGCATATACATCAATGTTCATGTCAAAATCATACAAAAGGCCCAGAAGTCAAATGTTTTTGCTACATTAATTACAAGTATATGATAATGCCCGTTATGCCCCAAATTTACAAATGTAATATGGGGGCACAGACAGTATGTTTTTGGATTGTTAAAAAGGTTTTATGCTGACACAAGGTCCGTGTTAGTGAAATGCGGAAGGGAAAAGAGCACAAGGGAATGCTTTAGCTCAGCACAGCTGCGCTGACAATGCAGAAGCAAGCACGCATAGAGGTAAAAGAAACTGGGAGAATTAGGAATGCTGAGTAGAGAGAGGCTGGCAGAATAGGATTCGTTGCCATGAGAAGTAATTATCCAATGAGCACTAGCCACCCTTAGTAATAGCGTCAGAAAGGGGCGGGAGCTCACCCTCCCAGAAGTTGATGAGCCACCAAGTCCAGAGTACAGAAGTAGCGAAATGGAAAATATTCAAGGCTAATCAAACAATCAGTTCAAGGAGTGTAGCCGGAGGCTATGTCTGTCATGGCACCGACAAAGTGGTGGTTGGCGATGATCATCTGCATCTCTTCCTCAAGTAAGTCGAACTACTCATATTAACCATCAAAAAAAGCGTGATATTATTAAAGTGCATCCCCAGTGAACTAACATGAGCAACAGAACAGGCTAGAGTACCGTGTGTCAGTACAGGAGGGATAACGAACATATGTGAACCTTGTGCGACCCGACAGCAGTCAGCATTATTTACCGTATATATGTGTATGTATGTAGGTACTAGAAGAATAGAGTAGGATGGAAATGTAGAGAACTTCATTGGTACAACCCACTAGGCTCCTTCCCTTTACCGCTCCTGCATTACCCTGCGTCTCATGGGAACTGTGAGCTTGGAACCAGGGAACAACAACAGTCAGCACAGGAAGAATAAGCTGGAGGAAGGGGTGAGGCTCCTGAGTGACAGGAGCCGACAGAGAGTAGACTACTGTGAACTACTGTTTTCTTGGTAATTACTAAATACGCCCCCTTACGGCAGAACAATTGGTGGCAGCGATAAGATTTAAAAGAGCAATATTTGTGTCGCAATCATTGTGGCACAATGCCTGTAAAGTACATGCCCAAAACAACCAAAGTGCCTGTGTCACAGCTCAGGCAGTTGTTCATGACCTTCCCACTGTGGTAGCCTGGGTTCAATCCTGGGTCTAGTCATGTGGTGACAAAGAGGCACTGGGGTGGGTTTTCTCCAAGTACTTCAGTTTCCCCTGCCAATTATCATTCCACCAACTGCTCCATAGGCAAAGTTTCACTTCCATAGGCTGCTGACAATAATATACTACATTCTGAATTAATGGATTTCTCGAATCCGTCAATTGGTATTCTGAATAGAATACTGTATTTCAGAAACTCGATCTTTTTCTGTCCTGAGCTAAACTGTGGGGAGGTACCCGCTCAGTTAGGTCTGTTAGAAAGAGCTAATCCAGCTCTGTATAATAATCCTATTATAGGAGCCTCTTTCACAAATGGATGAAAACTTCTTTGGCATGATGCTCATGGAATCAATAATAATAGTTAATTACAAAGCAGGAAAATTATGCATTTGTATTTAATCTATTTATTACCTTTCTATCCAGTTGTATCCAATAATTTCATAGGATTAAATATGAATACTTTACTCATAAAATACCATTCTACATATATATATATATATATCCAGAGGACAGCAACATAATGTCCAGAAAGTCACCAACTGTATCAATTACTACTGATCATATAATCACTGGAATCCATTATAATGTCTCTGAGTGTGGGGTCAGAGAAACAGAAGCCTATAAATTCAAAAATATTGCAATGAAGAGTTCTGTCTTCTGGGATATAATGCCAAGGAGTCCCGAGGATGGAGGTAACATGTTCCTCTGAAATGTCAATTGATTTTCAACAGACTACAAGGCATTATATTACAGTAGAGCTCTTCACAGCCACTGCTGTGATAACCTCAAGTCATATGTTGAAACAATGACCACACTAGCATATTTCTGAGTATAAACAGTTATGTAAACAATTAAAGAACAATAAATAATAATGCTTCCTGAATCGGGAAATGTAGAGTAGAACACACCAAATTTGGTGACTTTACTTTATTTATTTAGTTATACATTCCTTTACACCATCGTCAGTGCTCAGGTTTTATACCTCTGAACTGTAGGAAGATCAGTGAATAATAAATTTGAAAGGCTTAATTTGAGGTATTACCCCAGCATCTGCCTGGAGGGACTGAGAGAAAACATGAAAGAAACCTCAGTCAGGATACTTGGTGTCCAGGGCCAAAATACAGTGACACCACATTACAGAACATGCCTGTACAAAGACACATTACAGAACGTGCCTGTACAATGATATAACATTGTGTGACTTTCCAGTGAATAAAAATGTGTATGTGCCTTATCAAAGAATAAACTTTGAGCACAAATACCATTAATGGCTAATACAACATTTTACAGTAAGAAAATTAATTGGTCAGATGGTTCATATGTTCATATTATACAAATTTAGAAATAAAAGGAGGTTCATCTAAAATAAGATCTTACATGGCACCTTCTTGTTTCATATGAATACACATTAAATGAAGGTTCATATACCAGTAAAAAGAGATTCCTTCTGCATGTGACATTGAAAAATCTTGAAAGCAAGTCAGCTCAAGCACTGATATTTCTGGTTTGTGCTCAAGAGATGCCTGATTCAAGACCTGACTAATTCACCAGGTAGCTTGAGGTTTTCCTCAGTTCCTTCAGGCAAATGTCAGGACAGTATCTCTAATTAGACTATGGCCACCTTCTTCTATATTCTTTCCAATTCATTATTCACCAATAATCACATCATTCAATTCCATATATTGTATAAGATATAAGCCATAAACTACACAAGGTCACTGCAGACAGTCTACATTGAGACAGAGGGCACAAATCTATTACATGGAAGGCAGTCTCGTATAATATGTTACACGGCATGGTGTTAAAAGGCCTACCTGAGAAGAGTCAACAATAACACCATTGTTACTTGTGACCGTGTTCTTGGTTTTTTCAATATCCTTTAGGTCAACCCCACGGCTACAGTCATCAATAAGTATAGTCCGGTAACCAATTGCCAAAGCATCGGCTGCAGTAGCTCCTAAAAAAGAAAATGTAATATTTACAGTCAAACTGATGAATACCATACATGTTCAACATTATGATCTTCTGGCATGTGATGAAATGTAGCCCATTTGATAGGTACCAACGCCTTGGTGGAACCTCCTTCTACCCTGCAGATGAAGGCAAAGGTTTCCTGTGAAATATTTACACCTATCTACAGAACTACACAAAATCACGTTCCAGAATACCGTAATCTTAACTACTGTGGCTGGCAGAAGCTTCAAGTGTGTTGTGTACAAAAATCAGACAAGTGTAGAGGTGCAATGAGTCAGGATGGAGCAATAATGCCCCTAGCATCTCAGAGCAAAAACTGTGCTGTATTGCCATACCACTGAAACAGCAAATGGTCTGAGCCACGAATGTTAACATCGAGATATCCTCACTGCACTGGAACCTACCGACACAAACATCATACGCCAATCCACAGATGTAGATATCTGTTGCATTTTTTTCTTGGAGCTGTGACACCAGCGTAGTATCTGTAAGTTTCTTATTGTCCCAAAAAACAGAGTACGAATCCACTTCAGGGTTTGTTCCCTTGTATATCTTGATGGAGTTGTCCACAATCTGCAACATCAAGCTCGGATATACATAAAAGGAAAGTATAGTAAATTCCCAGTTATCCTGTGCCCAAGGAACCAGAAATTCTCAACTGGCAAAACTTAAAATAAAAACTACCATTTTATATAGTTATTTCAGAACAAATCTGTGATGAGCATATATTCACACATCATGTGATAGTTACCCAGCCACCACTAGCTGTACTGCCCACCATTCTCCTTCATGCAGGTGCCATTACAGACACATTGATGCATGATTACAGCAGAGCATAGTCAAATTTGTGATCACATACAATATCACCAATATCTTTGACCCATAAACACACTCTATCTCTTCTTAAGAGAGACTCTGCAAGAACCAAAGCAAAGACGTGTTGCTTCAAGAGGTGGGAATTAAAGTGCTGGAAAAAGGTGAAAGTCATGTGCAGACTGGGTTTCGTACAGAGTTTTCCTACGCAATCCACAGATTATTGTAACTGCACTCCCGTTCCCCATACGTGCCAGATAATAGAAAGTTTATTGTCTTACAAAAATATCAGATAATTTCAAAATTTGGGGCTAATTTTTAGCATAGAAAATGCAAGAAATATTTAATACATAATTTTAATTAAAGATTATGAGAAAATGGAACAATGCTGACTGTTTTTGAAAAGATAACAAATTCTGATTAGGGACAGGTACAAGTGAAGGTGCCGCTGAACCTAAGCACCATGCCAAGGTGGTGATAAAGCTCCATGCATTCCCAGTCTTGGCACAAGAAACAGGCAAGTGGTCAGTTTCATGCTCCAGCTAACTTTGTTCCTGGGGAAAGAGCACATGGTACCCTTTCATTAGGTGGCAGGTGGGCTTCAGAATCTGTCTATACATGGTCAACAAAACAAAACAAAAACTGTGACTTCCAAAATATCCAAAATGAGTGTTCCAGCCCACAAGTCACTTGCTAATTTAACTACCTGAGAAGGTACACACGTTAGTACTGATGCCCTCACAATGGTAACTATTAAAGTTATTACCGTCCAGGAAGTGATGCCATGCAGCCTGGTACAAGTGCACTGATATTTCAGAAGAACGTACTCCCTCCACCTTCCAGGTCAAAGCGTATGCCAAGCAAGTAACAAGCTGGTTTACATTATTCTAAGATGTTAGTGAATATCTGGCATCACATCCCAAAATGAAACAATCTTCAAGGTGCATAAAATATATATATTCTTATACATTTTAACATTGTTCACTGCGTCAATCATTTCACAGCCAAACATGTACATGCTGCAGCAACCCTGTCAGGTAGGAAAATTCTGCAGTTAAAAACAAATAAATAAAAATCAAATATTGACGTTAAGTTTTCTTAATATACTTGGTGGTACTTCATCACGAGTAATTCTAAAACAAAGCCAAGAGATGACAGTGGCTTTGGATTTTTACAGCTTCTCACCTTGGAGACAAATGGGGAATTTTAAAACACTGCTCGACAAATAACCACATGAAGATCTGCCAGGAGAACTTAGAAAATGTGAAAATATTTGCATCATGAAGATGAAATGGTTAAAAGTGCACCCATTATTATACTCTATCATCTTGTAACAATATTAAAATGGATCTCATGAATATAATGGTAGCATAAATTAGAGGGAGTTCATTCTGAACAGGGCTGATGTTTTCTTGGACTGACATCATCAGGAAGATTTTGCACATCACTAGCAGGTAATGGCAACTGGTACCAATAATTCAGCAAAAAACTTACCTTGAGATCCTTATGTAATTCCGCTCCCCAGGAGTCCTGTACACAATGTCTTGGCCACAGTCTCTGCTTCATGAGCGGTGGACCTTCAAAGATGACTGTGTCATATGTTCTAGCTTCTTCAGCACTCACCTGTCAAAGAAGTGAGCAATGGAATCAGGTTACAAGAATTAAAATAAGTTTAATTTATTAAACAATGGTGTGACACAACATTTAAGGCCTCCCATTTGGACTTTTTCCATCATCTTAGTTTTTAATACAAAAATCATAACATTTCAGAAACTGGATCCATTTCCATCTTCTAGCAGAGAGGATATGAATAAATTCCAACACTGTTGGGCCCCTGGTTAGATGGTACAAAAGGAGCTCAAATGCAGTGGAACCTCTCTTAACAAGCACCTCTCATAACAAGTAATTCACATAACAAGCAAAACAAATTGTAAAAAAAGACTCGCTTAATGAGTGACGTTTCGCATAACGAGTGACGAGAGGGGAAGTCCCGGATTGTGCGCTTGCTACATCAGTCTGTGTTTAGCACTTGTTCTGCTAGCATCTTAGTGTCGCTTGTGATCACACATTTTCCCAAACTTGTGTTCAGACATATTATTTGTGATTTTTTGTGCAAAGTTTAATAACCCTTGCAAATATGTCCCCGAAGAAACAGCTGCAAACAGACAGCCGTAAGAGAATAAAAATAACCGTAGAAATGAAACGTAAAATCATTGAAAAGCGAGAATGAGGTGTGAGCGTGGCTGATCTAGCATGCACATACAATAAATAGGTCTACATCAACGATTTGCACTATCCTCAAGAAGGAGGAGGAGGAGGTAACAGCAAAGCAACAATCTTCTGGCGCAATAAGAGAAATGCTGAAAGCATGGGAAACTGTTGCATCGTACATTGAGAAGCATCACCCTAATAAGGCAGTGGCTATGCGCGCTACAAATTTATTTAATGATAATGCTGTGTTGCATTTTCACCAAATTTTGAAGCGTCTGCAAAAAAAGATGTCTCTAGACAGCTTTCTAGTAAAAAAGAATTAGATATGTATCATAAATAATAAACTAATTATTTCGATTTTTTTTTGTTTTCTGCAAATCGAATTCGCATTCCAGGTTGGTTCATTCCACATAGAAGAAAAGATGAAGATGATTCACGTTCCTTAACAATGTATATATAATTTTCTTTGAATAAACGTTATACATAAATTTTTTGAGTATTTTTTTCGGCATGGAATGAATTATCATATTTACGTTAATTTATGTGGGAAAAATTGTTTCGCATTACGAGTAGGGTTCAGGAACGAATTATGCTCGGTAAATGAGGTTCCACTGTAAGAGCTTTCATCTGACTGAATGCACAACAATTATAATGCTATGCATACATTTCAATGTTTGTTATTACTTTCAATCTTGACTCCATCAATTTAGACGTCCACTTCCTTCAACTTGAAGAGTCTCTACAACCTAGCCCCTGCTGGTAAAACTTACTGGACTGGATGAATGCACTTTACGCTGTGGAAGATTGTCGATGAACGAGACATGGTCACTAGGATGCCAGTCCAAAGAGTAGAAGACTGTATCAAACTTCACGGTCTCAAGAAGTTTGTTTATTGGTTCAACAACCTGCAATAAAATACAAAGCCCTTCAACATGTTACCAGATAAAAACAAAGACTTCTTTGCATTATAAATTATGTGGCATGAGAGAAAATACGTTGACAGGTGAAAATAATTTCTTGTGTCATTCTTTTACAATAAAGGGCAGCTAACCCAGCCATGTACACTGGATGAGTATTCCTTTTTGGCTGTTCACAGGTGTTTATTCAGCACAGTGGCCATCATACTTTGTACCTAGGGGGGATCTCTTCAATCCATAAATTAAGGATACATGATACTGCAGTAACAAGGGACCCATTTAACCCTCTGAAGGATGATGATCATCTAAATAAGTAAAGTAAGTAAAGCTATCCCTTTAAGAGGCCATGAAGGCCCATAGGGTTATGAAATGTTGAGGGTCCCACATTATCTAGACAGTCGGCTCAAAGATGGTGGTAAGGTTGTCAGCTTTACATGCCAGCCGCACTTTACTCCCCAGGAAAATTATTTAGTTAATTCCTAGTACTCATTTCTGTTAGAGGCTGAGTCGACCCCAGGGCCACAGTGTGGCTGGAAGGATTAGGTAAACTGAAAAAATCCGATGACCTCATCGGGACTTGAACCCGCGACCTTCCAGCTTGTAGCATAGCCTCTCAACCAACTATGCTACCACATAGCCCCCATCATCTAAATAATATTTACAAATTTCTCTCCTACCTCACAGAAAACTCACTGCATTCCATTACAAAGACCAATCTGTGAAAGCTGTTACGGAAATAATTACATTTTATTTAAAGAATCATATAAAACCAATAAATACAAAATACAACCTTTCTGAATGTCAAGTAAATGTTACACAAGCTTTATTTGTGGGTTGTTTAATGACACTTTCAGTAACCAGAATATATAACATCAACTGGATGATAGATGAATGACAATTTGGAAAAGATCTGAAAGGGAGCAGTCATGGCCTAATTGAGGTACTATTCCAGCACATGGTTTGAGGGACTGAGGAAAATGACAGAAAACCTCACTCAGGATAACCAACATCCCAGACAAAACACAAACTAAGTACTTCAAAAAAAAAAAAGTCAAGAATGTTATAGCTACAGCCCATTCAGTGTGATATATACAGGAACCTTTAATTACAAAAACAAACTTTAATTTCTTAAAGTGAATGTTAGTACTCCTTTAAAACTGTATGTACCACATACTGTGAGAAGCCAGGGCAGCACAGCCAGTACAGCAACTGGCTATGGGCTGGATGACTGAGGGGTCGGAGTTTGAGTCCCAGTAGAGTAAGAATTTTCTCTACATCATCCAGACCAGCTCTGGGGTCCACTCAACCTCCTATCCAATGGGTACTGAGGGCTCTTTCCCTGGCAGTAGAGCAGCTGGGGTGTGAATCTGACCACTCACCTACAACTAGTGCTGAGGTTATGAAAATGTGGATCTATACAACCACTCCCCCATACGCCTTCATGGCACAATGCTTAATTAGTTAAGCACAAGGACAACTTTACCTTTACTACATATTGTGATATACCAATGGAAAGCAATCATATCCTGGGCAAAAACCAAGTACTTCTACTTGTTAATTAATAAATCCATTGTTAAGAGCATTTACAACAAAATTCCCCTACATCCCTGAAACTGTAAAGAGTCTCCACAAAGTGAAAACACACAAAGTCATTTCTCAATATTCTTTATCTCTTCCAGTTATAACCAACCATGAAAGACTCCAAGCAATAAGCAATGCATAACTATATCAATTCAAGTGATGAATATTGATTTATGGATTACAGACATGACCCATGACCTTCAACTGCCCAGGCAGCTGCACTATTAACACAATTAAGCAACACATCCCAGACAGATAATCAATTTTATTGATATATTTGAGTCGCAGCATGTCATGAAGTTGTTTACACTTCACACATCCACTAGCATATATAATATATATTTTAATATGTAACAAACTCTGTAAGATTTAACGATTTAATTTGTGATCATTAAAGCATGACAAGTGGTGTTAATCCATCTATTAACAGAAGGTCTGCACCTCTCCCAACCTTTTCTAAACACGTTTATTAGTTATTTGAAATTACTGTCACTTAAGATCACTTTCTGTAAAAAGATTACCTATACACTGTCACTCCTCATATTCGCTGTTCTATACACTAAAACATATTCATTGTTGAGTATCAATAACTTATCTGTTTAAAACTCATATATTATTTATTCAATTAGATTTTGCTTTCAGAACTTTTCAGGCACACATTTCTGGGTGTTATTGAACTTCTAACAGCAGGTACCACTGAACTGGTGCTACCCATTGGATAACACTGTTGCCTGAATTGGATAATTTCTAGTAAAAATATCACACAATGAATCCGCCTCTGTCTACTGATGGCTTTATGAAGAACAAACAATTTTACTGTGAAACCTGAGGTTCTTGTGCCCATGACTATGAAGTGTACTACTTACTGCCTTCTGGGATACAATGTTAAGTAGTCTGACAGAACATTTAAATGCTAAGGACCACTGGTAAACTTCTACAGAACTGTATGAGATCACAATTCAGGAGAGAGTAATCTTCAAAAATTTAGGTTGGATTTCAGGTTGTCACACCAGTAACTACAAAGAGTTATGATCTTCTGGATTGTAAAGCTAGAAGGTTGCACTTTCAAAATACAGCTGATCCACGTATTTGACAAACTAAATGAAAGCAGAAATATACAAGGCAGTAACATTCCTGGGGCATGTTTTCTTTGAGTGCTTCGGTTTCCCCTGCCAATCTTCATTCCGCCAATTGCTCCACAATCACCCTCACCTATCATCTGGGGCTGGTACAATAGGCCACAAGTGGCCGCAGTCCAAGGGACTTAGTCCCACCCCACTAGCAATAAAAAAAAATCCTGACTGGAGGGGGGGGACTTCATAAAATGGTAATGAATACAATTTAGAACTGCAGAGATGGTTTAACATTTATAGGTCATTTAATGACATCATATCAATTGTGATAGTAAGAATAAAACAAGATATATGGTGAATAGGAAAGGAATTGCAAGTAATTAGTCAAGGCCTATTTCACGGTATTATTCTTAAATTTGGATGGAATTACTGAGAGAAACATAAAGAAAACTCAGCTTCTGGGCTCAGATTAGTGCCTGAGACCTCATGATATGAAGTAAGATTGGTAGCCATTACGCCATTATGATTGATTCAAAGAAAACTATCTTTTTGAGTTATACTGAACAGTGCTTTTTCTATGAATAAAGTTGCCAGCAATATGATGTGATTTTGGATGGGGGGGGGGATCTTATTTTTCTACTAACAGAACATAAAAATATTAAATAGGCAGCACAATTGTTTCTGAGTAGACTATTTTATTTTATTTGAAATTTTCAAATTAGTCTTTCTAAAACACTGTACTTTTCTTGTATTTCACAAGACAAAGAAAGGTGCTAGCACTACCATGAAATAAGCCTTGGAACTGAAACGCTTTTCAAACCTCTAAGCTGGCTACGTTTTCTTGTTTCCTTTTTACTTACCTCTGCACCATTTTGCCTTGCAGAACACTGGCTGATATTCAATGTTCCAGATATGAAATCATTTTGAACATCCACAACTAGAAACACACTCACCGGACGGACAATCTGAAAAATTATCAGGAAGTTTCATTCATTCATCTTACAAAACACATTCTATAGAACATGCTCTTTCTGCTTTGATAATGGCAGATGGGAAAGACATGAGAACAGAACAGCTGCAACCGATTCTGAAACACTCCCTGATTGTCTGACATGACAAGAACACATTTTGCAGGAAATAGGTCAGAGGTAGAAAGGTAAACAGGGAGGAATGAACCTTAGATCTCTCCCTAACATGGGAAATACATTTTAGATGAAAAAGCTCCTACTATATCTGTTTGTCTGTCTATAATCGATTCTTGAATTGCATGACGTGAGGTTCTCACAGCAATGACTATGAAAGTTACTGTAATCTGTGATGTGACATGGCAAAGCAAGGAAAATCATTACTAACATTACAGAGGAGTATGCTGCCTCCATCTTCAGGTAAAAGTGGTTACTATCTTTTTGGATGTGATGCTGTGTAGGCCCAAAGATCGTTACTAACATTTCAGAAGAACATGTGGCTTCCATCTTCAGGGTAGAAGTGGTTACTGTCTCTTTCGATGTGATGCCGTGTAGGCCCAAAGATCGTTACTAACATTTCAGAAGAACATGTGGCTTCCATCTTCAGGGTAGAAGGGGTTACTATCTTTTTGAACACGACAGTGTGTAGCATGGTAATCATTACCAGCGTTTCTGGCAAATCTGATGCTACCACCTTTGACAAAGAAGAGTAACCTCCCTTCAAGTCCCAGAAAAGAGTAATGTTTCAATTCTTTAGTTACTTAACAGCGATATTTCATCTAGAGAGGCAGCAGAGCGAAAATCTGAGATCCAGGATGGTGAATGTGTAACAGTTTGGAAAAGGGAAGTTGTAGACTATTTCAAGATTTCTGTCCCAGTATTCACCTGAAGAGACATTTCATTATTGGCTTATTCCATTTCTCGGATCATACAGTGTCAATTAATAGGATTCCTGAATAATGAACTGGAAATGATGTGGAGAGAAATGGCTGTGACTTGTGTGATGTACTGTATCAGCATTTATTTGCCTGAAGTGATCAAGAAAAGCCATGTAAAACCTCAGGCAAAAGAGCCAGTCTCTGGACCGAGATTTGAACCCAGAACCTCTGGAATACAAAAGCAGAAGTAGGCCTACTACTGTCTCCATTGCGATGTTCGAAAATCCTGTTGGGTTATTGTTCATATACGTTTCTGCCAAACAACTTCGAACGTATCAGACGCAGGCTGATACATTTGCTGCTGTTTCATGAAAATGTATATAAACAAACACTAGGTAAAGGTGATGCTATCCCCGTAACAGGCAATGGAGGCCCACAGGTTTGTGAGGCATAGAGGCTCCCACGCTTTCTACACAGTCGGCTCACAGGTGGCGGTGAGGTTGTCAGCCTTACACACCAGCCGCCTTTTATCCCTAGGAAGATTCCTGGTACTCATTTCTGTTAGATGCTCAGTCGACCCTAGGGCCATAGTGCGGATGGAAGGATTAGGTCAACTGACAAATCCAGTGACCTCATCTGGAATCGAACCCGAGACCTTCCGGCTTGTAGCATAGTGCCTCAATCAACTACGCTACCGTGTGACCCCATAAACAAACACTAAAACACTAACCGATATTCATAGAATACCGCAGACTTTTGGCCACTCCTGTACTCTGAACATTGCAAGGACACACCACAGCTTTATGAAAAAACGATGCACAAAACCTGTTGTCACGTGTCCTCGCACGAAGGTCAGCCTGCAGCAACGAAAAGAGAGATATTGTAAAAGGGTCATCAGAAACGAATCCTAAAAACTGCTCATTTCTTCGACGAAGGGAAAATTGTCCCTCTGCTTAATTACGTATTGGCCCACGAAGAAATATACGGGGGGGAGGAGGTTGAAGTCTGGCTTTACGCGATCTTAACCTCGGCATTAGACATGAGAGCTCTATCCCCAGGGTAGCTACTGGATATGAGGCTAGGTGGACCCTAGAGCCGGTCTAGAAGCTGCGGCAAAAAAATTGATCTCAGCGAGAACCGAACCCATATTACCCAGCCAGAGGCCTAGTCACTACACTAAGCTACACCGGCTCTAAGCATTTTGGTTTTCATAGTGTAGAATATGTACGCTTGTGGACCGGGATGGGTAAACGAAAAGGGACCCAAAAGGACCAGCGGGAACCACATGCCCTGAAAAATGCAAGTGCATTTCCAGAGTGGACAGCAGTCACCATACTAGGCTACGGACTGAAGACCGGGGAATTGGGAGTTCCAATTTCCGCCCCAGAGCAAAGGTATCCTTTTTCTACTCAGTGTCCAGACCACTTCTGGGGCCCACTTGGCCTCTTACCCAATTAGTACCAGGGTTCCTTCCCCGGAGGTAAATCGGATGGGATAATAAAGGTGACCAATCCCCTCCATCGCCGGTCACGGTAGCCGAGCGGTCTAAGGCATGTACTGTTTTCACTCGCTTGGAAAACGGGATCGTGGGTTCGAATCCCACTCAGGGCATGGATGTTTGTGTGCGTTTTTCTGTGTTTGTGTACAGGTAGAGGCCTTGCGACGAGCTGATCACCCGCCCATAGAGTCCTACCGAATGTGTGAGATCTAGAAAAACCGAAGTGAACGGAGAAGTTCATGGAGGTAGGCCTAGGCCCACTGGAGCTGTAGTGTCAAGGGGGGGGGGGAACCACACACACACACACCTCCATCTAGTGCCGAGATTAAGAATGGGTCAGTTAATTAACGACGCCGTGTCTCAGATGCTACAGCGTCGAATAGCAGGGAGATAGCGAACAATCAACAGGAAAGCGTGAGGAAGGAAGCGGTCGTGGCCGAAGGAACTGCCCTGGCATCGGCTTCGAGGGACTCAAGAAAAGTATGGAGCTATACCGCCATCCCCCTTCCCGCGTCTTTATGGCGTGGTTCTTAATTACGCATAGAGACAGGTTTGCCTTCTACTTCAGGACAGGTTTCTGCTCATAATTAATAGAAGCGATAATGCATCGTGGGGGAATGACGCAGGGTTAATTCCATTACAGAAGCTACTCCGCGGCATCAAAAGCCTGCAAACAATATAAACAAAAACAACAGTTTTCTACCACAAACTCATTCGGACAACACGAAGTACAAATTAACTGCGCAGAAGGCATGAAAGTAACACGTTATTACAAATACTGCTATAAAATACTCTGGCCAAGTACGTAATCAATAAGTGGCGAAAATACAAAAGAGAACTTTCTAGACGTATCTAACATTAGAACGCAATAGAGTACTATGCGACATTTAAAAAGTTGGTGCCAAAAATAGCACGAAGTTCACGTAATAGATTGGCTGTCGAGAGGCAGAATAGCACGGTGGTCAGGTGTGATATGAGAGGCCAGGCTCGAGGCGGGTCGATAGACATCTGCATGTCTGCTTGCATTTAGCGCCTGGTACAAACAACCGCCCGTTCTCAGTGCTAAGCATGAAATGCGGAAATTTGGCAATTCCCTCTTAACTGTACTGCGACACCCGAAATAGGGGCACTGCAGTCGTTGCAGGTATCTGACCTTCAAAGTATATCTCTGCAATAAAAATGAGATCACCAGCGAGCTGGACTGAAGTGCCGTTCTGCTCCTTTTGCACGTGCTTTATTATACGGACATTCGACTAAATAACAAACTCCGTGGAACAGTGTCCTTCTTGAGAAACCAAAGGTGGCTCAGCGACTCAAGCAATTCTATCCCTTTTAAGGAACCCGAAGATCCATCCAGGCTTTCTTATCCTCAGCCAGATGAATCCAGTCCAAAACCTAGCGCCCTATTACACTAACATCTACTTTAACATTATACTGTCATTATACAACAGAGAGATACTTAAACATGTGTCAACAGCTAACTTACGTAGTTTGAGGCAAATTAATATAAAATGTTTGCATTCCTCTCCTAAAATTGCCTACTTTGTTTAATCCTTTAAAGTATAATGGTAACTATATGGTGACATGTAGACCCGATGCTAGGCAACGACCGCGAAATAAGCATGATTTCGAGGAAACAAGTGCACTGCAACTAAGGAAGCGGCGTTTTCTGTGCGGTCCGTGCCGGACCTATATAAGAGACCGAGTTGGCGGGGATGCAGGCCGTGAGCCGTTGGTCGATTGGTAAGTTGGTTGGAGAACTGCGACGGTTCGGTAGTTGTGAGCTGTTGCTGTTAGAAGCTGGTAACTGAGGCCGGGGGCAGTTCGGAAACCCACAGGAAACGTCTGTCATTGGAAGCCGCTACCAAACAAAAGGTTACTGAAGATCGTAACGGACTGAGAAGACCTTGTGTGTCCTATAGCGATTTGTGAAGTGTGTACAACAGTGAGAGCATAATATTTAATTGCAGTTACGAGTTGTAAGAGCTCAATATATCGGATTACCAATCTAAATCCCGTCTATAGTCACTAACATCACGTGATGTGTGCCACCGGCCTCATACGAGTCTCTGAATAAGCAGAGCTTAATTCCCAAAACACGATCAACCAACTGATTTCAGTAATGGCGTAATAGCGTTTCTGTCAGACAAACCCGAATTGTTGAATATTTTTTTGATTAATTTTTTGCTTCAAAGGGCTTATAAGGTCAGTTTTTGAAGAGCAGACTTACCTGCTGAAAATGAACTTCAAGCAAATAAGGGATGCAAAATCGCAGGAACACACACATATACATACAGTACAGAAAGGTCAAGGGGCACGCGGTAGCGTAGTTGCTTGAGGCACAATACTACAAGCCGGAAGGTCGCGGGATCGAATCCCGAAGTCACCGGATTTTTTCAATTGACATAAACCTTCCAGGCGCACTATGGCCCTGGGGTCGACTCAGCCTCTAACATAAATGAGTACCAGGAATATTCTTGGGGGTAAAGGGCGGCGGCCGCCGCGTAATGCTGACAACCTTACCGCCATCTATGAGCAGACTGTCTAGAAAATGTGGGAACCTCAACATCTCACAACACCATGGGCCTCCACGGCCCGTTACAGGGATACAATTACTTGTTTAGAGGAAGGTCAAATCAAACACTACTTCTTTTTTTTTCTCAAAATAAAATATCCATGGTGGAAAAACTCGACAATTACAGCTTTAATTTCAAAACGGTTTTCGAAATATAAGAAATACAAAAAGTTAATGTAGCTTCTTCGGAGGTATGAAAAACTCTGCAACCAAAGATAAGGTACGAAAAATAACAAGACATGCATCTTAAAAACATGTGTAGAATAATCATATTGTGATCTTCTGGGTTATGACAGCATGTAGTCTGGTAGGTGGTCACGTTTCAGTGCAACGTACTGCCTCCATCATGCGGGAAGCAAAGCGCGGATTACTATATGTCTTCTGTTGCAAGCTTCTTGCTTGGAGCATTTCTCCGCAATGGAGGCGATATACACCTCTGGAACGTCAGGCTTTCTTCGAAATACACAGCGATACAACAGCGGGGACCATACTCTTCATAGGCACCGCTTTCAGTACCTCAAATCCAACGCAATATCAGTCCTCGTCGTTGTGAAATCACCAATCAAATGCGCAGGCTAATCTAGTTTGCGGTACACCTTCACTCTTGTTTGCATGAGCATCGGTTTTACACAATTATATTTCAGTTTAATGTAAACAAAGGTCTATAGGTGTGGGGGCTGCGCAATAGCTCAAGCGGTTAGTCACTGGCTTCCCACCGCGGCGACCCGGGTTCGATCCCGGGTCTGGTCAAGTGGGATTTGTGGTGGACAAAGTGGCGCTGGGGCAGGTTTTCTCAGAGTACTTCGGTTTCCCCTGCCAATCTTCATTCCATCAATTGCTCCACAATCACCCTCACCTATCATCTGGGGCTGGTACAATAGGCCAGAAGTGGCCGCAGTACAAGGGACTTAGAACCACCCCACTAGCAATAAAAAAAAAAGGTCTATAGGTGATAGATACAGACAGTCCCACCCCACTAGCAATAATAAAAAAAAAGGTCTATAGGTGATAGATACAGACTAGAATTACATTCATTGGACGTAGTTCTGTGGTTCTTCAAAACAAATTTCTTCGAAATCCATTAAACGGTCTTTCAGATGAAAATGCGGATGCATAAGTAAACCTGACGTCCTTATTACGCATCCACTTTACACATTTCGTGCCAACAAACGCATAATTATTCGCAGTATTTGACAGTCACTGATTTGAGCTGTTTTAATTGGTTGTGATTGTAAAGAAGGTCCAATAAATCCTATCATCTAATCCAGAACCCGTCATTATTAGTCACGGGACCCCATATACGTCACAATAACTTCACACAGTACACTGATATACGTATGGGCTATACTTGCCAAGGCTTTCTTCGGTAGGATGAGTTTAATGGCTGTGTAAATAAAGAAGGGTTTCAATTTATAGGGGTGCAAACGTGTCTCTAATGCGCCTACTGAGCTGGGATAATTAGGCAATCCGGCTTGGCTGCATTATGTAACGCAAACACCGCGTTTCTCGAGTGTATTATGTGTATAAAAATGTGCCGGGGTACAGTAGGAATGGCGACTAGCTACTGGCTGGATTATCGAGGGTTTGGAGTTCGAGTCCCGATGGAGTCAAGAATTTTCACTTTTCCATATCGTTCAGACCGGCTCTGGGGTCCACTCAACCTCTTATCCAATGGGTATCGGGGGCTCTTTCCCCGGGGGTAAAGCGGCCGGGGCGTGAAGCTGACCACTCACTTCCAACTAGTGCTGAGGTCAAGAAAACGTGGGTCTATACATCCACTCCCCCCTACACCTTCATGGTGTAGTGCTTACTTAGTTAAGCACAGGGACTTTACATTTTCAGCTTCACTATACATATAAAATGTAACGCCGTCAACTTATAAACAAGGGACATACACTTAACTAGTGAGTACAAACGAAGGGAGCACAAACATGGTCTCTCTCTCTCTCATGAACAACGGTTCAAAGTGCTGAAAAATCGTCTTCACAACTTTCTTTTGCATTTTTTTTTTACAAATTAAAGAAGGTTTAAATAAAATATAAAACTTTGTGGATTCTAATACATCTAAATGCAGAATGAACATGATGTGATATAAGAATAAAATCACCATTGAAGAGGGGTACCTCAAGTTTCCCTTGGAGACTAAGATGTCTGCAATCTCATGCTGGTGTCTGTGTAAAGAGTCTGGAAATTCAATCAGTGGAACTACAGGAAATCATGAAGGATCAGCTCGAAGAGAGGAAGCGGTTGTGATCCACTCTTAAGCTACTATCCTGGAATTTTCTTGTAGAAAATCACCAGCCAGGAAAGATGTCATTGCCAGTATTGGAGCTATGTACCTCTTGAACTGACACACTTTACAATTGTGTCAACCTGTTGGAATGGAATTTTGGCCTGGTTTACACAGTCATGTGTTCTTAGGCCCCAGTGTACCAATACAATCACAGTTCACAGGGATATTATTTTAATTAATGCTGCTAACTGCATATGGTTGCCGGTCACGGTAGCCGAGCGGTCTAAGGTGTGCACTGTCTTCGCTCGCTCGGAAGCAGGGATCGTGGGTTCGAATCCCACTCAGGGCATAAAGGTTTGTGTGCGTTTTTCTGTGTTTGTCTACAGGTAGAGGCCTTGCGACGAGCTGATCACTCGCCCAAGGAGTCCTACCGCATGTGTAAGATCTAGTAAACCGAAGTGAAACGGAGAGTTTCATGGAGATAGACCTAGGCCCAAATTGGGGCTGTAGCGCCACAGAAAAAAGAAAAAGAAAAACTGCATATGGTTACATGCGAATAATAACAGAGGATGATTATGACTGGTGAACTGGGAAAGATATAAAGGTGAAAATGTCCCTGTGTTTAATTAATTAAGCACCACAGTATCAAGACATATGGAAGAGTGGAGGTATAGCTCCACCTTTCTTGACCTGTTATTAGAGGGAAATGAGTGGTCAGCTTTATGCCCCAGCTGCTTTACCTCTGAGAAAGGAGACCCTGGTACCCATTGCATGAAGCCTGGCTGTGCCACCAGGCCAGTGTGCACCCTGAAGAAAAGCGAAAATGTCTTGTCCCTGCCAGGAATTTAACCCTGGCTGTCCATTTCATAGCCCAGTGCTATACTGACTGAGTTACCATGTATTTATTTATTTATGATTTTTTCAACAGCGCTTTCAACACCTCTGATTATGTAGCACAGAATGAGATTAGTAAATGATGAATTGAAACAAATGTGGAAGTAATCAGCTGTGGCCTAATTTGAGTTACTAACCCAGCGTTTACATGAAAGACTTAAGGGAACTTTGAAGAACCTCAGAGAGTAGAGCAGGTGTTTGGGAAAATTATCAACCTGGGACTTCCCAGATATAAAGCAGGAGCATTCAACACTCAACCACAACATTTAGTTAAAACATGTGAAAGAAAGCAGTTTTTTTCTTTTCTTAACATACTGACATATTTTATGATGCCCACCAGCTCTGAGGCCATTAGCTCAAAAAATAATAATAAAAAAAAAAAGTAACATTGTAGCATAAATTGCACATCAGCTCTGATTTGCTGTGTAACTCTTCAATTCTAAATCTCTTGATGGAAAATAAAAGTATGACACATGTTACAATTCAGGGGGAATACATTTCCAATTTGTCTACATTTTATACATTTAAATTAAAATTTTTATCCAAAACTGTATTTCCCACAACGAAAATGATTGTAACAGCAAATTCAAACCTCAATCCATGTTACTTTAACATAGAAAATCAAAATGTATTACAATTTTTTAAGCACTGTCTTACCTTTTTTATCCAATTGTTCCAGCAGAATGCAAACTCTTCCCTGTCTATTAGTCCATCCTAAAGATGAATGAAAAAGAAACAAATAAATAAACCAAATGCATGAGAGAAACTTGTTTATTCCACATTATTCCAAACATATGAAATAAATTCATACCTTCTTTTTGTCAAAAACTGATAATATGTCTTGCAGCTTCTTTGGCTCCAGAGAATATATCTTTCCTTTGTCATTTCGAAACAATGCTCGACAAATGGTGTGAAACTCATTTAAATTCAAGTATCCATCACTGAAAACACAAACGTGAAATTGCTGTGAAATGCAATGTATCGTAATACAGAAATAAAATGGAAAGCATTTTTATTTACATGGTCGATAATGATAATATAATTTGTATTTATTTGTGGTTTACATAATGAACTGTCAGTAACTCAGACTATACAGCAACCTGTGGTTTTAGTTACACTGCCAATAATACTGACGATACTAACTTCGCCGACAAGTGGCGGGCGCTCGGTCGGTATAATTCGCTTGCGGACTACAAGCCACGGAATTTGTTCTACATTTCCCAGTAAAAATACTCAACACTTACACTGGATATTATTAAAATCTAGACCCTAGCACTACTGTATGCTGTTCAAGTATCGTTCTGCACGTAAAGTTGCTGGTAATGTAACAGATTCATTAATTTTATTATTAGTTTCGTATTCCTTACGAAACTTCACACATTACGTGCATACAAAAATTGTTGCTACAACTGTACCTCTTGCGTTACAGCGCGGGTGGGTGATAAAGATAAGTGATTAAATCATATCCCAAAGAGTACAGATTTCTGTAAAAGTAGCTTTTTCACTTCCTTACCCATCCTTATCAAATGCGTTGAAACATGCATCCATGTCAAAATTCCCCTTCGTGTTGTATCGATCAAACCAGTCTATGTCGGCACTCACATCATACCTAGTATCGGCACCGTTTGCCATCTTCTGTTGTTCTGTTGGGAATACCGCGTATTCCAACTCAGGCAATCACCTGACGGCACTGATCACAGTTAACTTCAGGGTAGCCAACATCGGCCAACATCAAGAGACGAACAACGCTACTAATTTCGCGCATTTTTTGGAATTCTAAGCCGTACGTGATATCCCAGTGATATAGATGATCTATATGATCTATACGATCTATGCTTACTATTCTACAGTCATGGTAACGGATCATGCCTGCTGCGGCTAAGATTATGGAAACCCGTAATTAAGTCTCTTAACTGGAAAGAGGCTCATGTTACCTTCTCTAATTAACTGACTCTACGTATGTTACACTTAAGAAAGCAAATAGGCTGTCATATTACGTGCACCAAACAAGTCTGCATTTTACATCCACGGTTTCTGTCTCTTTTATATGCATTTTAATTTGACGCACTTGATTAATGGAATGAGTAATGCATGAACGTCTTAATGGAAATTTTATTTTATTTTAGTCCATGATAAATTTTGATAAATTTCTTGATCATTGTTTAATGTGTATTATAAGTATTATAAGTTTACCTCATTTAATTGCAATATTACTGTATTATTGTATAGATACTATGTATTCTAACTTGACTTGTTCCATATCCTATGGTGTCTCACCTGTACTGGATTTACGGAAGGTAAATAAATTCAATTCAATTCAACTGGAAGACTACAAAGTAAATGAATAGCAGGTAAGAAGTGAATGATAAAATAAATCGTTAATATGACATAACCCGAAGTACTGTCTTAACCTCCAAACACGATCTTAACACGTTTCGTATCGTATAGATTATCCCCCTTCGTTGTTTGTCAGTTGCTGTCAAAACTGTTGGACCTCACCTGTGATTTCTGTTACATTTGAGATGCAGTTTTAGTTATACATGCTTCATGTTATAGTTATCCCTATGCTTAATTACTCGAGCACCACATCAAGATATTGAGGTGTAGCTCCATATATTCTTAACCTCAGCTGGTTTACCCCAAGGGAACGCCTAGTACCTACTGGATAGGAGGTTGGGTTGGTCTCAGAGTCATTCCTCTGAAAGACAGCCCAGTAATGTGAACCATAATAAATATCTCTGGCAGGCAAATTGGGACCAGTAATGCAAACGATGCTATGTAAAAGAGGTAAGCTGTCCCTTCACTTAACTAATTAAGCACTACACCATGAAGACATATGGGGGAGTGGATACATACAGATCTATGTATTGACCTCAGCACACCCTGGGAAACAGCCCACCAGCACCTACTGGGGGCGCCCCAGAACTGGTCTGAACAGTTTGGAGAAAATAAAATCTTGCCCCTTCCAGGATTAACTCCTCAGGCATCCAGCCTGTAATGAATCACTATATCGATTGTGCTGTCCCTGCTCACTGATGGTATGTAGTTGGAACAAAGATATGTCCACCTTTGAAAGCAAAATAAAGCTTACCACTAAATTGCAGCAGTCAGCATATCTTCAGACGTTGCTTCCTCGGCCTGAGCTTGGAGACACGGATAGACATGGATGGGGAGAGGATGGAGAGCCCTGACACTATTGAAACTGGAACAGAAGGGAGAAAAAATGTTACTAGGATCACCAGGATGATTAAGCTATGGTCTTCTGGGATATGAAGCCATGTCATTTTGTAAGTTGGTACTAACATTTCAGAGTAACCTGCTCCCTCATTCTGTGCCACAGCTCAGGTAGTCGATGGTTTCTGACCATGGCAGCCCAATTCATGTTGGATTTGTGATAGGCAAAGTGCTGTACATTCTCTCAGAGTACTTTGGATTCCCCTGCCAATTCTCATCCCATCAAATGTTCCATTTCTCTCATCTATCATCCAAGACTAAATCCAGCCTAAATACTAAGGGATAAGACATTTTTCTTTCTTGGAATATGTATGATTACCCATTCCAAAGAAGAAAAATATTGGCTCCATCTTCTACCATGAAGATGGAGGCAGCGGGTTCCTCCAGAACACTCATACCTATGTGCCAAACTATGTGGCACTACATGCTAGAAGACTATAATCTTAATATTTACTGTCGTGAGAACCTCAAATCACAAGATGTACCTGTACGTCTCAAGGGAAAGAGTGTTCTTGGGGCACAGAAAAGACTGGAATGAGGTCTTGAATGTGGAAATGTGAGTCAATGGAAACTAGCTTACACATGTACACCAGACAAGACTGTAAAATTACTGTTTTTAATTTCTAAATACATACAAAAACAACATAGTCAATCACTTTACCTCTGTATAACAAAAATGCTTGATATTATTTGTACTATTCATTTTATGACTCAAAACAAGTAAATGTATGCTCTTAAAACATGCCTAATATCACATGAGCTATAAATTATTATCAGATCTTTGATGTGATGAATAGATATACAGTATAGTATCAACTATCTGTGCTAATGAAGTGGAAAAGACACAAGTCATCGAGAAACATGAAAAATTCATGCAGTACATACTAATGTGGCACACAAAAATTATGATAACACCATGCTGATGTTCATAGGGCTATAAAAAAAAACCCAACAGAAAGCTGCAAGAGGAAAACAGCACGGGAAAGAATAAAGAGTCATGTTCTCAAACAAATGTATTTTTGTGTGAACGGCAAAAATGCAGTAGCCCTGAAATATTTTGACTTAAAAACTAGTGTAGTGTGTCAGTTTTGAAAAGTGAATAACTGCCCAAGTAAGGCCGAAATATGTAGGAGCTGACTGTGATTTTAATATTATTTTAAGCAGAATGATACTTCAATACAACATTACCATTCCAACATCACATCTCATATCTGCGCAAGGCTGCTTGTCTTTCAAATGGTTCTTGGTGGTTCAAATTAATAGAGCCTTTTGTGGTATATACATATACATAAACTTAGCAGAAAAATCACTACAAGCTGCAACACAGTACAGTTACATGGCAGTAAATAAGGAGGATAACCGTTTTACCACAAACATAAAGATCTGAAGACAACAATGTTCTTGCATGTCAAAGGATATTTGTTTTTCAAAGTACTGACCGAACCCGTTCAATCAGTGAAGTTATATCTGATGAGTTCTGCTTTTTACCAAACAACTGCTGGAACAATTTCCTTTGATCTCCATCTTTCTCAAGTTGGGCAGCTTTGTTGTAGCCAGTGCGAATGATATCAGATGGAATTCCAGCAAGACGAGCAGCATTAAAACCATAAGACTTTGGACAAGCACCAGACGCAAATTTATACAGGAAAGTCACGGTTTCTTCCGATGGATCTTCTTCATTCTCATTCTCTACCATGCATGCCTTACAAAGAGAGATAAATATGGAAACATTAAATGCTTATGAAGCAAAAATATGGTTCTAATAAGATTTGGCCCATTCCAGAGTTAAGACAGGTACTTATTCCTGACAGAGTTCTCCTCTGCCCTGGCCATAACTGCTTTCCCACTTTCCTGTGCACAGTAACCCTGAAAATGGTTATTTTGTCACATTTTCTGTTCACTGTTCCTACTGGTCCAGTCAGGGCTCTACTCCTCTCTCCTTCCCGTGGTACACGTGAAAATTGTTCCAAGTGCACATGTAAGATAAATTATGTAAGCAACTAGAATATTGAAAAAAAGGATATGTCTCATAACAGCCAGATCCTTGACTGTTAATTAATGTGACAAAGTTTTACTTTTCTGATCAGTGTCACGACATTGAAATTAGTGTAGCAAGAGGTAGATGAGATCAGACGCAAAATATATAAGAAACTTCATTCCATTATTCAGATTTCATCATGATAAAATTTAAATACAGCTACAAAAAATATAGCTGGATTCCCTAGGGACACTTCAGAAACCTGAACTTAAGTCTGATGTTCAATGAGCACACACACTTCCTAACATGCAGCTTTTTGAGAACATTTGTTATAATTACCAAAGATAACGTCTTATTCATGTAGCTCTTGGATTTTGGTAAGATAGTGAACAGAGGCATGCCACATTACAAATATTTTTTAGATCAGAAAACACAAATTTCACATACTCACTTCTGCCACCTTAAATATGTTTAAAACAACAAATCTATAAAACTGTAAACAGCTGCAAGTCACACTGGGAAAAGGAAGAGTGTGATTATTACATGAAGTCTGCACCTTTCAGCAATGCTGTTATGTCGTACATGCAAGATCTATATAATGTAAAGTCATGTGATCAAAACTTACCATGTGGCCCAATGTGACATATTCTGAATGTCTGAAGTCTTCCACCAGAGTGTGGTAATGTGTAGAAAACAATGTTCGGCATCCTAAATTTCCCAATTCTTGCACAACAGCTGCAGCAATTGCAGTGCCGTCATGTGTTGACGTTCCACGTCCTAAAAGAGACACAATGAAGAATAAAAACTACAGTCAGGAAAGCAAGTTGAAATAGAATAAAAATATGTATAAGACATACACAGGTTGATTAATATTATATTATAAACTCATTTTTATACATCTTACATCTCATCTACAAGTATTCTGTGAATTCATTGCAATGAAATTTATTTCTGAGATATGAGGCCATGTAGTTTGGGAGATGGATACCGAGTCATTTGAAGGAGCACATGACTATTATGTATAGCATCTAGCAGTACAACTAAGTCCTCCCATGCAAAGTACAGTTAAATTGTGACAAAGGGACACAGGAACCAGATGCACAGAAAGAGATCAGTCTGCATCATTTATAACAATGAAAATCACTGGCCAAATCTCACCCACCTGTGTACACTGGCAGCAGTTCAATCTGCTGGCTCAACCACCTGTGTACACTGGCAACAGTTCAATCTGCTGGCTCAACCACCTGTGTACACTGGCAGCAGTTCAATCTGCTGGCTCAACCACCTGTGTACACTGGCAACAGTTCAGTCTGCTGGCTCAACCACCTGTGTACACTGGCAACAGTGACCAGTGTCTAGCACACCTACTGACCCCTGTACCTACCCAGCTCATCTACAAGAACAAGGGAATGTTTTGTTGCATGGTGCAGCACTGCAGCTGTCTCACTCAGCTCCACATAGAAAGTGCTCTCCCCTGCCATGATGTCGTCATTAGCTCCCAGACGGGTGAATATGCGATCCACAGGGCTGAGATGACAGGAAGCAGCTGGGACATGGCAACCCTATAACAAACATAATTTTAAACTGTACCGCCCTGTTGTTTCACTCAATAGGTTGTATTTAACGATAACTAATACACAGCACACCAGTGTTCTTGTTCATTTGCAATCCTTACTCATCATAAAATTATTCACACCATATAATGACACTGGACATTTAACTGGATGACATTTCATAACAAATACTGAGCTCAACATCAATTTTAATTATAATCTTAATTTAAATTTCAAACTGAAATCCCATTGAAAAGTCCATCTTCTGGGATATAACGCAATGTACTCCATTGAAAGTCAACTGACATTTCAGAGGACCATGTCACTTCCAGCTTCATGGTCAAAAAATAAGCCAAGCAAGAAACCAGCTTGGCTCTCAGAATTACTGGGTTTTTGGACTTTGTCCCTTGTCTGGTATTCTAGAAACTAAAAATCACGAAGTTTCAGAAACTGGATCTTTTTAAAATATGTCATGTTTCTAGAATACCGGATGTTAGACAAAGTCCAAAAACCCAATAATTCTGAGTATTATATGCCATTGTCAGAAGCCTTTTAGGATCTGGCTTGGCACCTTTTGCTACCTGCTTCAAGCTGGTTTCTTGCTTGGCTTATTCTTCGACCCTGAAGATGGAGGCAACATGTTCCTTCAAAATGTCAGTTGACTTTCAATGGGCTACATGTCATTATAATCCCAGAAGACAGAACTCTTCATAACTGTCACGGTAACAACCTCAAATCTTATATCAAATGTTCATCAGATGTAGCAACTCAAATGACAGTGCCCCAACTTGCAAGACAGAATCCACACCGCATGTAACAGGGCAGTCACAACATGTTTCATAAGCTAACCTGACAGCCAATGTATGGTGAGAAACACTGTGATTAATAATTATTTACAAGGGCACAAGAGTTGTGTGTTGCATCAAGCTGAGAGGTAAATATAGCCCATATCATAACTAAAAAGTTCTTCAGGTAAAAGTATCTTAACGTACAGCACACCATGAAGTGATTATGAACACAAGACAGAGAACCTCCTCACATACTGAACTCTGTCCTCACAAATGAGACTCTTGCAACCAAGTCAATTTCATGTGGAGAAAAACACCCCATGGACCGTGAGGATGATGATACTCTAGTCTTCTGTCTTTCTGCCCACACATTCCTCTCCAGCGCCCCCTGGCCCTACATCAACCAGCCCAATGCAAATGTCACTAGCAAAGCATATCACATGAATGACAGTATCAACATTCACATGAACACAATGGCCTAACGACTGAAATACAAGTATGTAAGTACTTCAAATATCATGTATGAAACTGATTTTTGAATCCTCTAAGAATGACGCCTCTTATCCAATTCTTGAACATGAAAGTTTCAATGTCAATACTGCTATATCTATGCATATGAGAGCCCCATATTCATGTGGCAGCCACACCTGGCAGTCTGGATTTAGTTCATAGCTCAGGAAATTAGAAATAATTCATGATTAATGAAAAGAGATCTGCAGACACACATTACTTCTTTCTGGTTATTTAACAAAACCATCAGAAGTTAAAACTATACAATTTTAGATGGCAGAATGATCAGTGAATAAGAACTAGAAGAACACGGAAGGTGAAAGTTATGGTCGAATTTGAGATATTTTCCTAGCATTTGCCTACATGACTTAGGAAAACCACAAAATATCTATCATTGTAGTTCGTCTCTGGACCAAGATTTGAAGCTAAGACCTCCAGAACACAAAGCAGGAGCGCTATCCAATTAACCACAATGTTCATCCAGAGATACAGAAAAAGAGAAGTCGCAGAATGCTTACCATATGAGCCATTACAACCAGGAGACCAACTTGACGCATGAGAGTAGATTTCCCTCCCATGTTTGGTCCTGTTACTAGTACCAGACTAGCTGCATCTTCTCCGCATCCAATCGCAGTATCATTTGGAATGAATCCATCCACTGATGAAACACAAGGATGACGACCGTCCGTGATCTTCAAGAAGGGCTATATAAATATCAAAATGAGATTTTTAATTTAAACTACACCATTTGAAACTCAGGGCATACACCCTCACAATTTTACACAAACGGTTTATTGAAAAAAAGTCGTTAGATTATTCTAATTATTCAAGCACAGTATTATGGACGTAAGCACCAAAGGCTACTGACAGACGGCAGACGTTCGGTTAAAACTTAACATTTATGAATAGGCTTCAGAATTATTTATTTGCAGTTTATTTAACACTTCTTTCAACCACTCAGATTATGCACTGTCCAGTGAGAAGTGAATAATGAACTTGAAAGGATTCAGAAGGAACTGGTTGTGATGTAGTTGGAAGTCTTACCATGGCATTTGACTTGAGGGACTAAGGAGATCCCCCCCCCTCCCAAATCTTGTTGGAATAGCTGAACTACATGGTGAGATACAATTATTGTGTTTCTGGACATTATGCATTGTCCTGTTTTTATTTAAAACACACAGTGTTTCAGAGACTGTATTCTGTCTCCATCTTCAGGTGGAACATACTCAGTTGGGCCCAATCAATTAAAAATATTAAAAAAACAATAATAGCTGAGAAACAGTGGAGTTTTTTTAATGTTTTTAATGGCTGTCTTAACTCTCACAGATGGTTTATGCTCTGCTTGGTTTATATATCCTATCTTGTGCTGGTGTTGTGTCCAAAGATAGGGACCAGCTCTACTGATTGAGCCCAACGGAGTAGGTTCCACCTGAAGATGGAGACAGAATCCTGTATGAGAAATGTTGTTTTGGGGGGGGGGAACAGGAGGCTGGATAATGTCCAGAAATACAATAATTGTATTAATATGTCATTGTCACAAACTTTTAGATAATATTCCAAGGTAAGAATTGAATCCAGGACCTGCTGAATGCAAAGCACAAGCACTAATCACATGACCATGACAGTTGGTGCTTATACTGTGTAACCTGATGACATTTCCATGGCTGCTATTGCAATACTAACTGATGGATGTATAGGAATTTATACATGTTTATCTTGCTACTTCTGCTGAAAACAGGGCAGAATTTCAACTGTTTTCTTTGAAGGTTTCAGAGTTCAATATTTACATACCTTCATTTCCTCGGGTGGCATAACAAATTCTGGGACGCACATTTCACCTCCTTCACTACGCACATATTCAGCAAGCGACATCATAACATCCAACACAGACAGACACTGTACTGCTGTATTCCATATTTCATAGCTATTTAAGAAAATAATCATCACCACATTTACTTCAGAGAAAACTTAGACAACTTCCACACTTATAATGATAACAGAACTCGATTCAATGTTTCATGGCTGAAAAACTGTGTAACACAGGCCACCAATTCATATTGTAACTAAATGTAATGTAAGATAAAATGTATGAAACAAATTTGTACATTTAAAAATACTCACTATGAACTAAATCTGGCAAATATCCTGCGATTTAAATCCTTTAATACAGTTTTCTGTTGATCTTCTGCAGCAATTTGACGGGACAGCAGCTCCTGATCAAATGAGAACAAACATTACAATTGTAACAAATTATAAATGCATTAAAAACTGTTAAAGAACACGTATTTTAGAACTGAAGTATATACACTTCTGTGGATTTGAATTTCTATTCATTCATCACAAAACTTGTATCACAGCATAGACTTATCTTCTCTGTTCACTGTTTTGAGAGATAAGAAGCATTTGCCATTTAGTGTTCTTCAGTTTTAGATTTTTCCTTCATTTACGATGGGGTACCCAAAAGAAACCGAACTAATTTTTTTGTGGGCAGAGCTTTTGTAGTACCGCGTTTTGCCACTATGAGCGCATAGAGCTAACATTCCTGAGTCGATAAGCCGACTACCGTTGCTTCGGAAGGTAAGGACTAGTTTCAGCAGAGTTTACAGTGACAACTATTTAGTGTGATCGTCGTTTTTGCAATGGCTGATTTTCATGAACATCTTGCGGTGGTGAAATTCTGCTTTTTGCTCGGGAAAAGTGGAACAGAAACTGTTGTAATGTTAAAAACGGCATACAAGTACAATGCTATGGGGAAAACTCAAGTGTTTGAGTGGTTTTCCCGTTTCAAAAATGGTGAAATGTCAACTGATGACAAACCTCGTTCTGATCGTCCTTCCATGGCCCGAACGCATGAAAATGTTGAAAAAATTCATGAAATCATCAAGGAAGATCGACGACGGACCATTGAAGAAATTGTGGAGCTGTTGGGAGTGACTTGGAGCTCAGTTCAGTGAATTTTGACAGAAGATTTGGGAATGAAAAGGGTGGCTGTGAAACTCATGCCACGACTGCTGACTGCTGAACAAAAACAAGGTTGCGTGGAAGCATGCTGTGCTCTGAAAGAAGAGTCCCGAAAGGAAAGCGTTTTGCTGATGTTGCTGAGGTGAAGGAAAAAACGACAGAGGCGCTGTCAAGCATCTCAAAAGATGAATTTAGACAATGTGTATTAGTGTAAGTGGAGAGTATTTTGAAGGGAATTGAAGGTTTGTGCTTAAAATTTGAATAAATAAGTTAAAAAAAAATAAGTTCGGTTTCTTTTGGGTACCCCCTCGTATTGCTCAGTTTCAATGATCCAAAGTCAATATACTCAGTCAATTTTTTTTTTCCATTTAAGATTTTCCTCAGTTTAGTGTTCAAATCCGCTGCCCTGCAACAAAATCTTAAAGAGGGACCTCACCGCGTTTCATTTGCACCGTGAGTATTCTGAACATGAAATCCCTCCCCTGCACTACTATCCAATTTCATTATATTTGCCTCAGCAGGTCTCACAGTTTAAACTTAATTAAAAGATTTTTCAGAGGACTTTACAAATAGCTACAGTCAACTCTCGATTATCCGGGGGCGGATTAACCGGTTTGCGGCTTAACCNTACTTTTCAGTTTTGTGTTGTATCAAAAAATTATTCCACGCCATTCCAGCTGCATAAGAAGGATCAGTTTTCAGGGTAGATGGAATTCTGGTAGCAGTTTGGGCAGTCAGGCTCCCTCTTTTAGAATTAAACCTGAAATGTGATGGTCAAGCAGCTAAAGCGACAGAGCTTTGGGTATGAGTGGACAAGCATAAAGGAACAGTTGTCATACTGAAGTCATGTAATGGGAAAGCACTGAAAATAAATCAGTTAATGTGCAGCACTCCTGCACTCTGGGGAAGTCCTGGCTTCAAATCCTGGTCAAAAACTCGTTATCTTGAGTCTTTCATACTTTTCATCAGCCACTCCAAAAAATGCCACGAGGGTACAGGAAATTACAACATGACCATTTCCTCCCACATCCTTTATAATTCAATATTCACTAATCATCCAATGATTCAATGCCATATTGTCTCAGCTACTGAAAGTATCATTACACAAACTATGAGCAAACAAAAAACTGAACGAGGACTTGCCTTAGTCTCAGAAGTCCAGTACTTCTTGAATCCTTTCCTTTGTCCCTGAAGTTCATAATCTTTTCCAGCCTTTTTGGTAAAGCTATCAGGAACTTCAAGTTGAAATCTCTTCTTGTCAGACCCACAATATGTCACCTAAATCATGCAAATCAAAAGAAGTAAAACAAAACACACTGTCAGGTAAATATTTAATGCATTCACCTCAGGCCTAAAACTAGAAAATGAAACAAGGAAAATTATTTTACCTAACAAAAAGTATCATATTGTCGCGTATCGGGCGTATATCGCGACAAATAACTTCACGCCGTATTTTGTATAGCGAATTTTATTTCACATTCGCACTTACAATCACCCAAATTACAGATTTACGGTTACTGCTATCTGCAGTATCACAATTAGTACACTCCAAATGCCAGAATACAACTGACTAGTTGCTGGCTAACTCGGCGGTAGCTCCAGGACTCACTGACTGACTCAGTACAACTGACTCTGAATAGCCTTCGCTGCTCCCNGGGGGGGGGGACTCGGCTTTGCGCAACATGTCACAATATGTACACTTGCAACCCACATCCAGGGAGTATATTTGGTGATGTCCTGGGCATCAGCCTTTCTGGTATGTATACCCACTACATGGCTTGCTGCCTTCCCTTCTCAGTCAGAAAAGGTGACAGTGAGACTACAGAAACATCAGAGAGTGAAGCTTATTACAGACCTACAAAGTGACAGTTGTGGGCCCTTTACAGTTATGACACAGTAATTTCTGTGACTAGTATCTTCATTTCATTTGAAGGGACACACTAACAACACAGGATAACAGATGCTTTACTTAGAAGTTCTTAACATTTTATACATAAGCTTCCACTCCAGTACATAAAAATAACTGCCTGGTATGCCCACAGTATAAGATAGATTATTGATTCCTCTTTTATGCAGACATAATTAATCCTGCGTGATGTAGTGCAGACCAGTACCACTTCTCTCATCAATCTTGCTCCAGTCTGCCTGTTACCGCAACTGACACCGTGAGTGCATAATGTGGAAAATCACGTTCCAAAAGCCACCATATGTCCTCCCTGTGTTGGCCTTAATAACATTACAATTCTGTCCAATTGCAAACTGATGGTTTACTTTGCATATTTTTTTTAAATCAAATTAAAAAGTACTTCAACATAAATTTTTATGTTATAAACTTGTGTTTTTCTTGAAACTTCGGATTTGTTCCAAACACATTAAAATCCATGCTAGTGTACCATTACCTTACATCCAAAATACTTCCTTTGGCTGTTCAGGTACTCATCTAACTCCTGTTTTAACCCCTGCAATTCTTCCATCACAGAATCGTACTCTGGATCAATACCTTTACTTGGGTTGATACGACCAGCTTCCTTGGCCTGTTCATGGTCAAATGCAGTCTGGAAGTGGAACATACAAGTGTACTTTCAAAGCTAGGGTAACTTAAGTTATACATACTTTCATTATCAGCATTTACACAAATTTATGAGTCCATTTCTGTGTCAAGAGCAGCATCACTGTATTGTCTGTGGTCATGGTAGAAGCTGCCACACACATCTAGTAAACTGTGTGCAGTTTCCCTGACTCACCCCCACCATTTTGATTCAGTCCTTGTCCACCATGCTCAGTGTTCATTCCAAGTATTTTCCATTTTTGAAATATGAAACAAGTTTCTGAAACACACTCCCTTGAATACGAGAGCCACTTTCAAAATGTACTACTTGGGACCTTGACTTTTACATATAATATTGAAATGGCAACTTAGAAATAAATGAAAGTAAAATAATAAAGTTGTAACTTAGAAATAAATAAAAGGAAAACTAATTTCATTTAAAAAAACAATATAAGCAGGAAAACAATTTCATTTCTACACAATATACAAAAACAATTAGGTTGCATCATATAAATTACTACAAATTACCTTTACCAGCCATGTGTCACATTATTTCATCAAAGCACGAATACAGTCCAACTGGCCAAGTGCTTCATTCTTTCAGTACTAACATAGTTACCCTCCAGTTAAATACAGCTGCCAGCCCTGTAGATGTATGAGGTTTACAATCCCATATTCCAAGATAATAAACTGTTACACCTGAATTAAAATATGACAATCAAGCCCACAGTGATGAGATACTTAAGAAAATCCCTATTCCCAGACAACTTAGATTAAACATTAAAAAAATGTATAACACACAGCAGTAAGCAAACTATGCAATTTCATATACATTAATTCACGAGGACAACCTGCAGGAATAAGCATGTAATTAAAGTGAAGGTGTCCTTATGCTTAACTACTTATGCACTACACCATGAAGACATATATCCACGTACTCTTGACTTCAGCACTAGTTGGAAGTCAGTGGTCAGCTTCAGACCCCAGCTGCTTCACCCTCGTGGAAAAGCCCCCAGTACCCATAAGACAGAAGGCTGGATGGACCCCAGGACTGGTCTCGATGATGTGAAGAGGAGAAAAATGCTGCCCCTACTGGGACTCGAACTCTGACCCCTCAGCCATCCAGCCCACAGCCAGAGGAATAAGCATATTATAAATATAAATTGAGACTTCAAAGTTACCTCAAAAAAGTGAAGAGCACCTGCAAGATCAGGAAATTTCCCAGCTGGATTCTGCTGTTTATTGCTAGTACACTGCACCAATAACTTTGAGCTTGATGTTGCAAGTTCACCTAGAAACAGGTATCTCACTGAATTCCTGCTGTCAGACCTTGCTGCAGAGCATGCTTTCAAATAAAGCAGTCTTTATCGATTTCCATTTAATGATATCTTAGGTTCTCACAGTTCCATACAAACCTTGAATCAGTGAAGCTATTTTTTCTGCAGATTTAAAACCTGCCAAAGTTGATATAAATTCTAATATTCTTCTCTTTGAGTATATATGGTCCTCGAAGAAGATTGCTCGACTGTCTGGATGAGTTTGGCTTCTTAATGCATTGCCCTCTGTGTGAACCCTACACAATCGAGCAAAGAGCAAAACCTCAGACACCGTACAGTAAAACAAATTAAGGCAAAACTGGATGTTTACACTTTAATTATTCTGTACTGGGAGGTCTGTGTACCATCACTCAAGTCACAATAAATTACACAGGTACAGAGAAAAAGCTAACAGGACAATGGTTACATTTTCAAATTTCAAATTTTCTAGAAGGAACGAGTTACAAAAAGGTGACAGAATTATAGAGGAAATTTTAAGGGAAGCAGAATTCAAATTTTGTCAAGAGAATTATAATACAAATGATTACAATGGTTTGGTTATGTGAAAAGAATTCAGAGAACAAGGATACTGAGGTGGGCATTATCATGAAAAATTAAAGGGGAGAGACTTATGGGATGGCCCAGAAGAAAATGGTTTACCCAGGTAAAGGAAGGAAAAAACTGGCAAGAAACTGAAAAAGAAATACAAGGTGTGGCAATAAAGAACCCGGATTACTTTTATGACTCATTTCCGGCCACGTCATTGACGAAGAGGAGGGTAGGGCATTGACCCTTGGACTTCCCTCTACCGTCACACAAAGTTTCATTCACGTGCATCGGTTAGTCTGGCCGCGACCATTGTTAGAAGCGGATCGTGTTTCTGAGCTCCGTCGGAATAATGCTGAGTGCTAATGCAGAACAACGTGCTAACATCAAATTCCTCACAAAACTTGGAAAATCTGCCAC